AGTAGCACACTTACCTCACACTTGCTTTGCACCTTGCTGGACTCTCCCACATGGGGAGTCCACCAGCATTTGTATGTGTGGGGCATGACTGGCACTCTGTGTGAATAGGCAGAAGGAAAGGCAGACACACATGTCACCCATATCTCTTTTGCCCACCTGCCAGTTCCTTTGTTCCATCAGACCTCACTTGCAAACATGTATTCAAAGATAAAATTATTAATAATTTCAAGACAGTGCCAGTAGAGCATTAAGCTAAACATGGAGCTCTTCTGAGGACAAGGCTCCTGGCAACTGCTCAGGTCACAAGCCAGGAAGGGGAGCCCTGGGTGCCATAAAAGGATGTGCAGGGCTGGTGAGTGCAGAATAGCACACTCTTTCAGAAAACATTTTGACCATTGGTGTGATGTTCATACCTAATAGACCTAGAATTCCATTTCTGGGGTTGTATCCTGGTGTCACAGTTATAAAGTTTTCTAAAAAAGCTTTATTTATAGCTGCTTATTACAGAATTATGCAGCACCATTAACAATTAGATATGACCTCAATATGTAACAAAAAAAGAATGATTAATTGATGGACATTCCCTTGTTGGAGTGTTATGCATCCAGTGCAACCATGGAGACTGACTCAGTGCATGGGAAAAGACAGCTGCTTAAATGTTAAGTGGAAAAACAGAAGAGGTAATATTACATGCTACACGCTATGGGTCCATATATGTCACCAAGTAAATGCTAATCAAATACTTTATAGTCTCTGGGTGGTAGATTATGGGTACTTTTCTTTATTGTATTTTCCATTCATTTCAAACTTTATTTGTTGAACATGGATTCCTTAATTATGTGTTTGTTTAGCCTGAGTTTTCTGGGGGTCCACATGACTTCAGGGCTTCAGGGTAATGGTGCCATAGCATAGACAGCTCATAGCATGTGGCATTCTCAGCCTTGTCCTCAAAAGAGAATTGTTACTTTTAAGTGACTTGGCAGGGGAGACTGAGAAGGGGGTCAGGAAGGTTCTTTGAGGAGGGAAGGTGTTTTTTCTGTCTGGGTTATCATTGACCTTATGTATCATTGAAGACTCAGCCTGTATTTTGCCAACAGCTTCATTTTGCCTTGTGCCCAAGTGCTGACAGTGGTGAGGGGCACGCCTTTGGATTGTCCGTCCTCTCTGACCAGCAGATCTCAGTGAGATCTTACTGATCTGTGTTAGGGTTCGTTGAAAGGGCTTTATGATGATTTTACCTCTGAGCTAAGAGTAGCCTGGGCATAATGTGGAATCCATGGGATTGAGACTCAAAAAGAACCTGGGTATGAATCCGGCTCCACCTGGTCCCAGCTGTGAGTTTTCTGAACCTCAGTTACTACAGCTGTAAAGTGGGAATTGTACCCCTCCATATAGCAGTGACTGAGAGGATGCCATTAGAACACTGAACTAGATGCTGTGTGCACAAGACCTGTCCTGGGAAAGTTGTTCTGTGAAGTGTTGGTCATTGCTCTCACTGCAAAGCCTCATACCCCATATGCCTCTGGCAGATTAGCAGGCCAAAGTTTGGCAATTGAGATGGCAAATTAGTTTCCAAATATATTGTTACCAGTAAAATTATCTTTTCAAAACAGTTTATGGTGTTTTGTGTCTCACAAACCACAGGGTTTATTGTTCGTCATATTTATAGCTTCATGAGAAGTGTTCTTTTTTATGCTTTTAAAGTATTCCAAGAAAAATAAAAGGAATTTCTTATCATAGTCATAAAAAGCAAAAAGATCCCCTTTGAATTCTAGAGGTGGTCAAACCTAATGACTAGAAAAAGACAAAAGCTTCTAGGGAACTTTTATTAAGCACTGTAATAGGCAGAAGCTATTTTTTATTTGTCCTGCATTCACTCACGCCCACGTTCATGAGTATCTGCTGAGTACCCGAAACCAGGTCCCGCGGGAGAGCACGAGGAGTGAGGTGCAGCTCCTCTGCCCACCCTTTCCTCACCTCTTCCCCTGGGAGGCAGGTTTGTAAACTAGCAGCGGCACTACTTTGTACACAAAAGGTACGGGAGCCATGGTTGGGGGCACCAGTTCTGGCTGAGGGAATCGAGGGTGGCTTCTTAGATGCCAGACTCTCTCTCCCCAGATCCTTCAGAGCTCTGGCACCTGCGCCGTGCCCATGGTTGTGGGCAGTGTCGACAGAGGCCAGCCCACCCTCGGGCAGGCACTGAAGGTCAGACAGGACAGGCCGCCCAAAGGCGCTCCCTCACCACTGTCAGCACTAGCGCCGAGGCAGAATGAAGCTGTGGGCAAGACACAGGCTGAATCTTCCAGATTCCAGCTCCCTACATGCCCTATAACTTTGGCAAATGCCCTAACAGGTTCCCCAGGTTGCAGAAATAAGGTGCTGGCCTGTGAGCGGCTATCTTTTAAGAGACCCCAGTGGGTGAGGGAAGTAGCCTTTTTCAGACCACCTGGATCGGAATCCCCCAGTGCTTGTTAAAAAGCAAATCCTAGAGGAACTAAGTAACCTGTACACAACCTAGTCTTGAAGAGTCACTGGTGTCAGAGAAGGAATACGTAGCTCAAAGTCAGTAGTCCTGGCTCTGTGGCATGGGCAAATCATTTTACCTCTTCGGGTTTTAGTCTCCACATCTGTAGAACGGGCCGCAAGAATATTTCCCCTGCAGTGTGGCTGTGAGATTGAGAAAAAACGATGGGGGTGATCTCACTCTCATAATGACAAAATATCTTGCTTACAGTGCTTAACCTTTGTGATTGCTTTTCAAGACAGTGTGTTCTCTTTTCAAAGAGCTCTACCTGAATGAAAGTCCTTTTATAAATGTGCTGGGGATTTGAGGAATAGTCTTTGTATCTTCTGTCTGGGTTATAACTTCTGAGGTGCTGTCAACATAACCTATCTGCATTGAATAAAATGTATTTTGGAAATAAATGACAAAGAATCCCTTGTATTTCTTTGTGAGTCTAGTCTGGGAAGAGACATGTAAACAATTTCAATGTAATTGGGAAATGATGATGATGGTCCTAATAAAAACATTTAAATTAATAATAATGATTATAATTAACATTTTTTTAGTATTACTGTGTGCTATGAACTCTGTTAAGTGTTTTTATTTTCTCATTTAACCCTCATTATTATTCTATAAGATGGGCATTATTGCTTGAATTTTACAGGTGATGACACTGTAGCCCAAAAGAGGTGAAATGACTTGCCCAAGGGCGTACAGTCAGAGTGGAAGAGTTCAGATTCAGATCCAAGCCCTTCTGATTCAAGTGGAGGATGATGAAGGCTGAGAGTGACTGTAAGGTAGGCATTAATGTAACCTCATATATTCCCAGGAGCCAGTGTAACTGGAGGGTGTTAGATGCAGAGAAAACGTTTGGGTATGTTGGTGTGATACAGTGGAGGAAAATGTCAGCTACAAATCCCAGCTCTGGCACCTTTTAATCTCAGTGAGCTTCAGTTTCCTCATCTGTAAAAGGGGATACTATAATCTCCTTCAAAGAGGTATTGTGGGGATTCAATGAAGTATTTTCCCTGTATTTTCTTCTTCCCTCCTAACTTGACTTTGAAATTGTATGTATCTTCAGATTTTATTTTACCTTCTTATTATGAAAAATTTCAAACACAAAAGTCAAAAGCATAGTAAAATGAACCCAAATGTACCTATCGCAAAATGTCCAGCTTCCAGATGACACCAACAGCTTGACTATAACCTTGTGAGTCAGTGGCAGTTAGCTAAGCCATGTTCACATTCCTCACCCACAGAAACTGAGATGATAAATGCTCATAAATGTTTAACGTTGCTAGGTTTTGGTACTGATTTGTTATTAAGCAACAGAAAACTAATGCAAGAATCACAGATAATGATATATACTGAAGCATTTAGCTCAGTGCCTAATACATACTAAGTACTCAAGAACCATTAACTTGTTCTATGTGAGAGCAGCCTCTTCAACAACAGATCTTGATACACTGTGGAGAACTGCTACAGCCCGGGGCATGCATGTGGTGTAGAAGTCTAAAGGGGGGAGCTCTTGCTTCTGGAGTTGGGGAGAAGTTCACAGAAGAGATGAGTTTGAGTTGCACAGGATGGATAGGAACACGAGACAGTGAAGTGTAGGAAAGTATGCTTTGTAGGGGACACGGTACAATCAAAGGCACGAGAGTTGTGCCGGCTGCCAGAGGAACAGGGAGTGGTGCGGCATTGATGAAGGTTACGTGGCAAGACATGAAATTGAAGGCAGACCACAGAAGACCTTGATTCAGTAAAATATGCTTTATAAAGGCATCCCACATTTTGAAAGCTCCCATTAGCCACTCCGCTTTTGTGAAATATCTATATGAGTAGGACCCATTTTGGCTAACCAAAACAAATCTGAAGAGGATTTTCCCGTTTATGCAAGAAGGTGAAGTGAAAATAGTGTTCGGCATCTGTGTGACAGGGAGCCTGCACAGAGGCAGCGCACACCCGGAGCAGCGAGAGTGGCGCCACCAAGCTCCTTCCCCGGGAACCCCACTCAGCATCTCAGAGTCAGGCCACCATAGCTCTGAACTGTGTCTGTGAGCATCCGTGCTTTATCTTGATTTATTTTGTGCATCCGTTAGCAAGATGTGTCCTAAGGTATCAGAAAAGCCTCAGAGAGTTTACTCTTGGGGTCTGGGAACATTCAACAATTTTCCATATAACTTAATGGCAATTGCTTCTTTGCTTTATGCCATCTTCACTTAGGACAGATTTCATAGGAACTCTCTACTTTCAGATAGTGGGACAAACCTGTAGAGGACCAACATTTCATTGTAAGATGCTTACTAGAGTCACATACTAAAGAGAACTAGAAAAGACTGTGGGAGTAAGGTAATTCTTTGCCCACTTCCACTCTTTGTCACATGGTCCTCAAGGGAAGGTTAATTTAGGTGTTTCCTAGGTATTTGCTTAAGTCCATCACCAATTATCTAATTGTTAAGTAGACAAGACAGGCAACCAAGGAGGTTTCATTTGGCCTCAGTCATCTTGTAGGAAAAGTCCGTACCACCTGCGGTTGGCATCGCTTTTGTTATATAATAAAATCACACTCCTCTTGAACAGCTGGCATTTCCTTTAATCTGATAGACACTATGAATCATACATTCTTGATAAGTGTTTCTCACTTTGCTTTTAGTCTTTGGAAAACTCAGAACCTAATTTGTCTACCAACTTCCTGCTAGACAGTGCTGTAACTCAGCCTTCTGCCCCTTCAGCTTTTCTATTTTGCCATTCTCAAGAGTTCTTTGACCATTTTCCCTGCATTGCATTGTAGATTCTTTTAAGTCACTTCAAGATTTTTTGCGGGGTTGGGGGCCAAGTTCGGATAAAAAGAAATGTGTGTAAAGGATCATATTAATTCTGTGGAAATAAAATTGAGGAAAATGAAGAATGAATCTTACCTCCCTCAATAATTCAGCAAATATTTGCATGTTTTCTTAGAAAATACAAGAAGGAATAAGAAGTTTTGGGAGAAGATGGTGAGCTACTTTTAGGACAGGCCAATTTGGGGTCCTTCTGGAAATAGAGTTGTCCAACACTGAATTGGTTCTACAAATATGAAACTCAACAGCAAGGCGCATTCTGGAGAGGAAAACTCGGAAGTCATCAGCCCAGTTGTTGAAGCCATGAGAGGGATGGTTCATCAAGAGAGATGGTCTAGCCTCAGATGAAAGCAAAAGGAGAGAAAAGATATATGGCCCTTTAACAATGCAGAAATTATCCCAAAACTGATGGCATACATATGTACATTACCCATTCACCCTTGCAGCTCAGGAGTGAATTATGTAACACCATCTTGACTCCTAATATTAAATCATATGAGTGGACATGAAATGCCAATTTATACTCAGCACTAGAAAATGCTTTTCATGATACGTACTTTTAAGGGATTTATTTTCTTTTCTTATTGAGTTTCTAAATCATTTATTTCCCTGTGGTTTAAAAATAAAAAATACAATATATTTGGACAAGGAATGTTCTGCTATAAAAGCAATATGCTCAGTGTTGATGGGGAAATTTTGATTGCTTCAGGGTTGATTTTTTTCTGTGTCTGGCACATGCAAGATGAAGCAAATTCATATTATGAAATACTGTTTTCTTTTTTCTATTTTAATGAAATGCTTTCAAACTCAAGTTCAGAGCTGACTTACCATTATTTCCCAAGTAAAACACCATCAAGTACAAATATTACAAAGGACCTCTGAGTTTTCTTGTTAACTGGTCTACACATTTGCATGAAAGATTCTTGAAAGTTTTCTCCACGCCTCTTCCCCCTACTCTAGGCTGGTTAATTAACCAATCATAAATAAAAGATGAAAGTCTGTGAACCTCAAATCCTGTTCTGGAAAAAATAAGAGTCACAGAATAATTCAAATTAATTCCAACTAATGAGAACCAGACACAATGACCAATGGAAACAGGGAAAACAGTTGGCATCTAACAGGTCAAAACTTTACAGAAAATGAATAATGGATTCAGAAATGGAGCAGCTTGCTAATGTGGCTGCTTATGGCCTTGGCACTGACTGAATGACCTTTGGTGGGAGCAGTGGGGAGCTCTTTTCTTCAGAGTACACTAGCTGTTGAAGTGATTTCAACTTTATTGGCTGAAAGGTTTTCCTTTTAACATGCCTTTTTACCTGGTTTCCATCTCTCTATCGATACACTAGAAATCCTGTCTTTTGGCCAGATCCCACCATCTTGAAAAAGCCTGTCCCTGACTCAGCCAGGCAGGGACGCTCCATCCATCCCTGCTGTTGCGGAGCAGGTGACTGAAGTAGAGCATTACTATGCGATGTGGTTGACCACCTGGCGGTGGGAATGATGGATCCAGTCCATCTTACATGCTGCTTGTGGCACTGTCTATGGCCAGCAAACCCATTTCCTCTTCCCAGGCATCAGGGTAGGGCAGATTTTTCCAGCTTTCCTCGCAGTTATTTTGGGCATTGTGACTGAGTTCCTGCCAATGGAATGTGGGCCAAAATGATGTCCACTAGGGCACTTCACACTGTAATGTGCCCACCCATCACCCAGGGTTCTGTTAACATGCACACTCTGAGTCAGCAGGTCTGGGGTGAGGCCCAGGAGCCTGCATTTCAGCAAACTCCCAGGTGGTGTCCATGCTTCACAGACACACAGACACACTTCAAGTGTTAAGAATGTACACCAATCCCAGCCTGGCTGTAAAATGTCCTATGCAGACTTCCACCACCTTGCAACATCCCTCCGTAGCTGGAACAAAGCACTTGCGATGCAGAGACCCTTGAGGGATGGAAGGGGACTGGATTCCTGCTTCATTGACTGGAGGAGCTGTGCTCTGCGGAGCTGCTTAACCCATAGGGAACGGTGAGTAGAGCAAGAGGTAACTTTTTATTGTGTTAAGCCGTTAGTGTCAGGCTTTACTTGTTACCTCCACGTGGCTTACCCATACTCTTTTATCAACTTTCTTTTCTGAGTCTTTCCTTGACTTATGATTTTGAATTAACTTAATAAACTTACCAGATACCAACTTTGTACCAGGCGTAATTCTAGGTGCTTGCTGGAGAATGCATAGATGAAGCAGGTGGAGTTTTCTAAGGAGTTGGGAGGGGAGATAAGAAATGGTATCAAATAATGAACCAACACATTTCAAAGGTCTCAGTGCCTAACAAGTCTTGCTGCCTATACTCAGAAGAGGGAGATGATGACCCCGTGGCGGACATCAAGAAAGGCTTTGTAGAAGTGATTGTATTGACATCAACCTTGAAAGATGGATAAGGTTTGAACTTGTAATGATTCGGATAGGGAAGAGCACAGCAAGGGAGTTAAAAGGAGCAAACAGCAAGGAGACACACAGGAAGTATGAGACTTGCCTTGGGATCAAGTATAGGATGAAGGATTGGAATAAAGGAATATACGGTAGAAATGAAGGTCAGAGTTGCATCATGGGATACTTTGAATGGCAATTTAAGGAGCTTGGATTCTATCCTGAGGACCGTGGAGAACTCTCGATGGGTTTAAGCAGGGGAGTGAGCTCATGGGGCAGTGGCGGGGGACGGGGGCGGGAGGCACTGGAGCCGCTCTCCCCACTCAGGGGCTATTGTGCTAGTTCAGGTACAAGATGCTGAGCATCAAGGTGAAGAAGACAGGGAAAGCTCCTGAAAACACTGAGGAAGAGAGTAGCATGCCCTTACCCCCTCTTTTCAGAAATGAGGACGCTGTGGCTCTGAAAGGTCATGTCCTGCTGAAGACACCAAGCCAGGCAGTCAGGCTTTGTACCTCCAGCTTCAGTGCTCCAGCCGCAGTATTTTCCCACTGGAGTGCAATGTTACTGCCGGTGTCAGGAATCCCCTCCTGAGTGGTCCTTGGTGAGCTTGCGCTGACTCTCAGTACAGCCTTCTAATTTGGCCACCTTTACAAATTTTAATATAAATAGT